TGCCATGCGCGTCTAAACAAATGCTTTAAGGCGAACAATCAACTTCATGCATTAGATAGAACAGGTGATGCGCCGGGAAAAGACTATATACTATCTCTAAGAACAAAGATCTCCTATTGATTGGGAAAAATATATCTATGCTGAATAATTAAATCTCTGAAGAGGATCATGTCCTTGTAGAAAAAAAACTTGAAGTCGAAAAATCATTATTAACCAATGGTTATGATAATACATAAACCAAACCTTCTATTTTATGAACGTACACCACAAAATAAAACGCAGTGACACGGAAACGAATTCTAAACACGTCAGTACTGTATGCAGATAATTACACTGTTGTCACTTTCCTCTACAGATCCAACAGACGGCAAAACCAACTCACAGAACGGAACTTAGACGGACAGCATCCTTATCACCGAGACCACAGCAGTAAATGAAAACATAAATGTATAATTAAATTATATATATATATATATATATATATATATATATATATATATATATATATATATATATATATATGGGATAGTGGATACGAACCCTCTCAAATGAGTCCTCCAGCAGGTAGACCGAGCACTTCTCACACTTGAGCAGGTCCTGTGCGTCCAGCATGATCTTCTGAACCAACTTCTCCAGGTTACTCTGCTCCTCGAAGATCCCGCGAGCCAGGTGCAGCAGCAGCTGAGGAGGGTTTGTATATGTTTATGACGTCATGCTTATTACATATAGATGATGATGATAATAATGATAATAATAATAATAATAATAATAATAATAATAATAATAATAATGATGATAATAAAATTAAAATAATAATGATTATAATGATAACAATAGTAACAACAACAACAGCAACAAAAACAACATCATCATCGCCAACAACAAAAATGATAATAATAATAGTAATAATAATATTGATAATGATAATAACAATAATAACATTACATTTAAATAGCGCATTTCAAATGGGAAAGTGATCAAATGAACACATTTCGAACAGTGATTTTACCCCCCCCCCTCCCCACCCATTCTATCCTTTTCTCTCTCTGAATCTGTTTCTCCCTGTCTGTCTGTCTGTCTGTCTGTCTGTCTGTCTGTCTGTCTGTCTGTCTGTCTGTCTGTCTGTCTGTCTGTCTGTCTGTCTCCCCCTCTCTCCCTCTCTCCCCCCCCCTCTCTCTCTCCCCTCCCCGCTCCTTCTCTCTGTAGTTTACTATTATTAAGTGGATCAGTGTCTGCGATGAAGGGGTTGGGCATTTCGCTGTAGCACGCAGAAGACCTGAGTTAGATTCCTATTCGGGAAAACATTATGTATTGGCCCTGACAGACAAAATAAAAGCCATCGCCTTAGATGCTTCTAAGTGTTTTGATGGGGATGTAAAATACCTAAACTAAAGATGGGAATTTCAATTCCTGAGCTATTGACCAAGTGCTTAGTGTAAAAACAAGGACGTGTGGATAAATGACGCCATACAGAAACAGCAACACTGTCCCCTAACAACAGGCATCAACGTGTGTATTGTTTTGATCTACATTAAATACCCAATGACGGTGACGTATGGGGCTAGGCCTAACTAAGAAACGAAAGTATAAGTAGAAAAAAATGCACGTAGCAATTTGTACACGGAAAGGACCCAGGTTCAGTAATCTAGTGCTCTGTCTTGTGTCCCTTGCCTTGCTGCATACACTATTCTTTCTTTGAGTTTCTCTTTTATATTGAGACTGGTCTGAACTTCATTGATCCAAGCAATCTGCCAGCAGTAATTATTTACCGATTGTTCAAAGGCTCATTTTCATATCTTTGCAGTGATCAACCTTTTTTCTCCCTATCATTCTCTTGATCTATACAGAGGAAACCCTTTTGTGTTCTAAAATATCACTTAGCAAAGTGCCCCAACCACCCGAGTAAACGGTCATTCACAGACGTAACAAATTTCAGAGCCCCTAGTGTGAGATTTTAAGATCTTTCTGGAGAGAGCTCATTGTTTGACCATAAAACTTGAAATTCCTTGCCCCAGGACCTCTGAGAAATAACAAATCCAAATATTATGTTTAAGGTATTGCTCAAGACTCATTTGTTTAATTTATAATTGTAGTGTGTTGGTAAGTGTTGATATGTTTTGTTCTTACTGCTGTCCATTGGCTTATATAATATATGTATGACTGAAACATATCTTCTCTATACGGTTAAACTGGTTCTCTTGTTACTGTGAAATGTTTAATCCTGTGTGCATGAAGTATTACGATTGTTAGGGGACAGTGTTGCTGTTTCTGTATGGCGTCATTTATCCCCACGTCCTTGTTTTTACACTAAGCACTTGGTCAATAGCGCAGGAATTGAAATTCCCATCTTTAGTTTAGCTATTTTACGTCTTCATCAAAACACTTACAAGAGTTGCAGGAGCTAAGAAAATGCTATAGATACTCTTGATCTTTTCCGGACCACTCTTTGTGATCGTGTTTTACAACGTTACCATAAGACGACTCATGGAAATACTGTTGAGTTTTTTTTCAAAGATACCAATACACTGTCCAGGTATCACGGTCGTACAGTAACGTTTTAAGAAGACATGCGGCCTGCTATACTATTACCTTGAGCTTGGTGCTGAGACGCCTTTTACACGACCATGTCTTTGATAGGTTGTTCAATAAGAAACTGAAGTTATTACTTCAAATAATAGTATCCATATATTCAAACTATTGAGTGATACACTACGGACCGGTTTGCTACCTGCAGCGTTGGAAGAGAGATGCTGAGTATGTCATGTAGTAGCGTGTATGAATAATACAATGGGCGATTTGGACCAGGGGGAACAATTCAGCTCGGAATAAGAAAGACCAGAATCCACTTCAGCCGAGACAAACTTACTGATTACAAAGTCGTTTTGCACATGATAATTCACGGAAAGAAATGCATGATATGCCATCTTCGCGTGACATAAAAGTGATTACTTATGAACTCTAAGGTATTTGGTATGCATTTGCATACACTAGAGACTGTACAAACTACAATTCTCTAATTATGCCAATTATTCAATGGAGCCAAGGAAACCCTAAGAAAACATAACATCACAACTGAAAGAGCTGCGGAGCTGCCCTACCATAGAAAACTGCATCTCCCCTCGACGCCTAACGGCAACAGAGGATGAAAAAGTAAAAAGTAAGTAAGTATTAAATGGAGTCCGTTTTTCATTCATTTGTCACTGCTCGACAGGCTGTTCTGTTCAAAGCAAAAAGCCAAAGAAAGAAGAGGCGTTTCCGAACAATAAGCAACGATCCCTGACAATGCAATAATCCCCGCCCGGCAATCCGAAGAGCATTATAGCGTATGTATCATTAAAAAAAATATATTACTGAATTTAAAAAAATAATTCGACTATTGCAAAGTTAGTTGCGACCTCTTCCTTTAAGTGAAATTAGATCGAGATTAGTATCAATAACTGGAAGTGCACATGTCTTCTGTTACAACATTCATGTATTCACAGTGACATTAAACTGAAAATTAACAAATAAAATAACCAATTGTTGTAACATACATCCCGGTCCCCGACTCAAAAGAGGAGAAAAACAAAGCACAAAAATAAAGACGAAACAGAAATAAAATCGAAAGTGGAAATTGTTAGTACGGAAACAGGGTAGATTAACGGCCCATCAGACTTTTGTATGACGCTCTGGTAAAGATTGCAGACAAAATGTCAAAAGCTATTTATGAATATAGTGCACAGACAACAATCTTAAAAGGCTGTCTACGTATTCGGAAATTGTTAAAGATTTCAGTTTTGTTCCTTTTGACAACAACCCATATGCTGATGGGATGTGGTTGAAACTCGAAAATGAATCACGGAACAAGAAGACACTTCACAATGGGAACATAAGAAACGTTATGGGAGAATTGTTCTTTGAACGGCTGCGCTAATGGATCCTTAAAACGGAAGGCATTGAGCAAATAAAAAGAGAAGAGAAGAAACAGCTTTGCGAAACACGTAAACAACTTGATTCGAAGAGATCCTAGGAAGTCGAAAGGAGCACTTTTGTTAAAAAGCATCATCGACAGATGTTTTGTGTGACAGTGGAGTGTTCTCTTATGAATGTGTTTTCGCAAACATTAAAAACGAAACAAAACGAAAGCTCGATAGCATGAATATTGGAGATCGTTTAAGACGCTCACGGTTTTAGAACAACATAGTGTAGGGGCAAGATAATCTATAGAAACAAACAGGCAAGACATCCACGTCATCACTGTCCTAGAATTTATAGCAATCCCGCCCCCTTCCCAATAACTTTGTTCAAAACCAAAATTCAACCGAGGAGAGACGGACGTCTACAGAGGATGCATACTACTTTTATTAAAATTCACAAACAACAGATCGATGATTTCAATGGTTTTGCAAAGAGAAGCTTTTCAAAAAGCTCCCCTCTTTCCACAATCACAGAAAACTGTTTTAGAATTTTGAGCTCAAATATTTGCGTTCTCTGTCTTTGGACAGCAAAGATATCCCACAGGTGACTTCAAAGATCAGAAAGTAATACACAAATTTACAGAAGAAAAAGACTGCGCATCCCTCATACAAAGATCACAAGTTCCGCATTCTTCGTCAGCTGTATTCATCTCATCTTTTATTGATACAGGCTTCAGGAAGAATATCTGAATAGCCTCTTACTTTGTTTGTTGTCAATGCACAGGTTTGTTATTATGCGTATTGTTCAATACGAATTCCTTCTATTTATAGATTGTAGCTTAAAGTAGTCTCTGCGTCATTGCTTACTTTCTTTTGTATCGTTAACCTGGCATTTTCCGAATTCTATTTAGCTATGAATTTAACGACAAATAATATCCTTACATCTACATTATTTTGATCATATTGAAAGCAAAGGATCGTGAAATACTTGTTTTATACAAAGAAAGGCTGTTCATCAGGATGGCACAAAAACATGGTTTGTTAAAAGATTTAACATAAAAGAATGCAAGTTTTTTTTGCCTCCCGCGGTTCTTCGTTCAGCAAATAAATAGGCGGAGAACAGAGTCAAAATACAGGACACTCGCGAGAGAGAGAGGGAGAGAGAGAGAAAGAGAGAGAGAGAGAGAGAGAGAGAGAGAGAGAGAGAGAGAGAGAGAGAGA